TTGAAAATAGAAACACTTTTGAAAGAGATGAACAAAAAGTAAGTATTATGTAATAGTGGGATGTGTAGTCCTGCACATGAAATCACCCATTATTGTCGATGAGGCTAAATCTCAGAGGATGGGTACAAGACATCTCCCAGCTCAATGTGTGGAAATGAAGAGAGAGAAGCAAGAAATGCCTTATGAATACAGATGATGGCACATTTCTTTTTTTAATATATATTTTTAACTGATTTCAGAGAGGATAGGAGAGGGAGAGATAGAAACATCAATGATGAGAGAGAATTATTGATCAGATGCCCCTTCCTGGGGATCAAGCAGGCAACCTAGGCATGTACCCTGACCTCTTGGTTCATCGGCTGATGCTCAATCACTGAGCCATGCTCGCCAGATGATGGCACATTTTTGTGTTACTCAGTGTGACATTTATTCTATTGAAACAACCCTCCAACACCAGAGTTTTAACAGAACAGTGGTTTGTGTCTTACTCATGCGTTGTCTTGTATTGAGTTGGCGGAGATCTTTCTTTTACATGGTTACTCATGGACCCATCTCAACACAGGTCTTAATGGAATGAGAGCGTGAAGATCTCATTCCTGCCTTTCTCTGCCTGGAACCGGAGGTGACACTTGTCCCTTCTTCTCACAGACTTTCACGTGGCTCCATCTCTGTGCAAGGGGGCAGGAAGTGTGGTCTTCATTGTGCCTGCAAGGAGAGGACTGTGGGACTTTGGTGAGCCCTGGGAGAAGCTTCCAGTGACTTGCTCACTCTTACTGCATTGGGTGGGAGTAACCTTGATGGGTTTCTCTCTATAGCTTTAGATTAGGAGGTAGGAATGTGAGTTTTGGAGTTGAATAGATTAGTTTAATCCCCTACTGAGTTCCTTAAGATCCCTGTGGTCAAGTTATTTAGTATCAATAAGCCTGTTATTCTCCAACTGCCAAAATAAATGTGTGATTGATGTGAATTAGCAGAGACCTGGTATACAGTGAGTACTTACAAAAGGGCTGCACTGGTAAAAGGAACGTAGTAGTAAATCCTGAAGGATATAACAGAACATTTTTATTGTATCAGAAAAAATAATGTCAGTTTCCTGGGACTGCCATAACAAATTACCACAATTGTGAGGCTTAAAACAAAGAAACTTATTCTTTCCCAGTTTGAGGAGGAGGAGAAGTTCAAAGTCAAGGTGTGTCAGCAGGGCTGTGAACCCCTATGAGGGCTCTGGGGATGGATCCTTTCTTATCTCTTCATGGTTCCCGTGGCTCCAGGCATTCCTTAGCTTGTGGAGGCATAACTCCAATCTCTGCTTCCATCCTCCCTGGCCTTCTCTGCGTCTCTCTCCTCTCGTATCTCTCATAAGGACACTTATCATTGGATTCAGGACTATCTCATCCGAAGTTCTTTAATTAAATCTGCAAAACTGTTTTTTTCCAGTAATGATTTTTAATTTCTGGGGATTTGATGTGGATGTATCTTTGAGGAGAGAGGGACATCACTCCACTTGCTATAAGTATGAAACTATTTTCTACTGCTATTTTAGCATCACTTATTAAATGATCATATTCTGCAGTTTTTAAAATATTGATTATAGGATGACAATTCTGTTTTAAATGTTAAGCTTTGTAGATAGATGGTACTGCTATATAATGTTACATCTTTTTAATGCAAGAAAAAGTTACATCGGACTGACTTTGTAATGTTATCAGTTCATATATCTAATGTCTACAGCTCTCATCATTGTAAAACCATTTTCAAGTTTGCTCACATGCATTGGCTTCAGAGCAATATACCCTGTAAAAGTTGTATGTCTCTTAAGGGATTACTCATGTATTCATTTATGTCAATCATGGGTTTTCTGAACCCTGATTTATGCCAGAATTCCTTTTTCCTCCGGTAAATGTATTCAAAAGTCATCTCCAAGGTATAGATTAGAGTTCTAAAACCCACTTGCTGTTGGGAAACTGATGAGCTATTCATAGAAGCTACTTGATCAGAGTAAAAGATGCAGTGGAATAAGTGAAGAAAATCATTCTGAAAGTGATGCCTGTCAGTGATTGGCATCTAGATTTCTCAATTATTAACATATTAAATGGGCATATTGGAAGTATTTGTGTATATAATGAATTTTTTTATATTTAGACATTTTAAATTTATGCATATATTTAATAGAGCATTCAAAATGAATCTATGTTGCCTACATAGTTGCATTCTGCACAATATCTTTGGCATTTCATGCATCTGAACATATGCATTCTGGGTCATTTTATAAAATAAATGTATACAGTGAGAATTTGGGAACTGCATATTCAATTGATGGTAAAGAGTTATAATTTTCAAATGACTTAATGTAAGCTATAATAATCAACTTAAAGGAACAGTTCACCTGATATGTCTATAAGAAGGTATAGGTTTATTTTATGGTCCTTATAATGAAAAAGGGGAATGTTATTTCTTTTTTAAACTACCTCACAGAGTCTACATGAAACTTTTCAGACTTATATTTTAAAAGCACTAAAATTGGGTAGAACTGCATGTATATAAAAACTATTATAAGGAACAAGTGTAATAGGTCTGGCTTTGTGAAAATTGAGCTGTTCTTCTGAAAATTACTGGACAATAAAAAATTTATAATCTGCTAATACCTGTGAATCAAAAGAGGTATACATCAAATGGATTAAAGTTAAGATTGTATCAAAATGAGGTCTCTTTTCTCAGTAAGAAATTAAAGGAAGTGCCAGGCAGCCACCATTACGACCCTAATGCTTTTGTGTCTTGTGGTGTAGGGTCCTCTTGTTTCTAATCCATGCATTAAACCTCTGTGTTCTCTTTCTTACAGTTCAGCAGAAGAACAGTTTCACTGGCAATCACAAGGTAAAGTAAGCCTTCTTTTTAAAAAAAAATGTTTTTATTCATTTATTGATTTCAGAAAGGAAGGAAGAGGGAGAGAGGAAAAAAAAATCAGTGATGAGGATCATTGATTGGCTGCCTCCTGCATGCCCCACACTGGGAATTGAGCCTACAACCGGGCAGATGGCTCAACTGAGAATTGAACCATGACCTTCTGGTTCATAGGTTGATGCTCAACCACTGAGCCAGGTCGGCCGGGCCAAGTGTGCCTTCTTGATGAAAATTTACTACATGTATCTCTATTGATTAATTTCCTTGTGAACTTTAGAAAGAGACTTATGAAAGTGAACATGACAAACACCATAACACTAAAATTAAATGAAGTTGTGATAGCTCACAATTTCATGGGATCTAAGTTCTCACAGTTCCTTAATCACTTTCTGTTCTCCATGGACACATGGAATTGAGGGTGGGGGGTGCTTTAGCTTTTAGCACTGAATGACGGAAGATTACACTATGATACTGAATGAGAACTTCATAGAGGTCATATGTTCATATAGGGAACTTTTGGTTTTTAAGTGATTGCCTTAAGCTTTAATATCATGTCATGTTTATGACTTTAAAATACTGCAATTTCAGATGGTCAAAAAGATATCGAAGATGAACTCACAACAGGTCTGGAGCTGGTGGACTCCTGTATTAGATCGCTGCAGGAATCAGGAATACTTGACCCACAGGATTATTCCACAAGTGAAAGTAAGTCAAGTGACAGTTATACTCGAAGACAATTAAAAGAGTATTCTGCCATTATTTTCAAATATAATTAATATTATGAGACAAATCGAATAAGACTTCCAGATATGTTTATACTTATTTTATGTATTTCGCTTCACTCTCATCTACTTCCTTCCCACATTACCCCTCCCCAACCCACATGAGATTGCAAATGCTCTTAAATCAGTAATTGGCATCTAAATTTTCCACCAATTACTGATGTAATGGTGATTCTCACCAATTCTCTGATAACCATTTTAGCCTCTAGACCAGCACATTGTATGACCACATCATATATGTGTTTAATCAACTCAGTGCCTGCTTTAAAATTAATTGACAATGCTTTACTCCTACAGATTATTGTTGGTAGAGATTTTAAACCATACAGCAATTACATAACAAAATAGGAAAAACGGATGTAATATATGCACTACTATTTAAGAGTAATACACTTTTTACTTTTCTATATTTAGCAATTTTATATTGCTGTATTAATCTCAATAGAGTATTTAAAGATTTCTTTACCTCCACTTAATTACATATTTTTCAACCAGAGTGCTTGAGATGTAAAATAAAAGTGCTGAATTGAAATGAGCCTCACATTAATAAATCATAAAATTATCTTAACTTATTTCAATAAAATCCCATAAAAAGCTAAAAATTGAATCATTAAAACTTACATTATCTTGATAATTTCTACATTAAAAATCAGTGGAGCATTTTATTCTTAATTTATAAAAATAAAATTTCCTTGAATATTCATCAAGGCCATAGAAAAAGAAGATATAAGAATAAATAGTATAGTGATCTTGAACCATTTAACTTACATATTAGTTTATTTTCTCTGTGATCTTCTAATACCACTACTCTTAGGGCAGTATCATCATGAATACCCACATGTCAATAAATATATTTCCTTTGTAGGGGCAGTTGTACTTAAAATAGATTTTATTAATATTTGATGTACTCAACTCCCCCTTTATTAGAGAGGAGGAAAGCAGAGATAAAATAGTGTATTTTGGGTGGGGGGTTATATTGGATATCTCACTTTTTGACACGATAATAAACATATTTGATTATGAGGGTAGAAGAGGGGATAAGTTTTAATACATGGAAAGTATATAAAAATAAGAAAGAGTAAAATTAAAATGAGATAAGTCAACTCTACCAATCTAGCTCTACAGGTCAGCACAGTGGATTCTTCTTTGAAAAGAATAAAAATTCAAGTTTGTATTAAACAAAAAATATTAAAAATGATAAAGTTGATGAAAAATATTATGACTATGTCAATGCCCGTTTATCAATTAGACTGAATACTAGAGGGAAAAGCCATAGAAATTTGAAACAAATAATAAATTAACTTATATTTGCTGAATGCTAATATACATTTGTTGTATATGTCCAAAGAATAATTATAAATATTGATCTGCTACCACATTGTAAAGACAATCAAAAACATTGAAAAGTATAGCCCTAAGGAGACATATGCAATACCCTTTGTAATACTTTAAGCAATAAAACAATTAAAAAAATAAAATAAAATAAAGTATAGCCCTAGCCAGTTTGGTCAGTGGATAGAGCGTCAGCCTGCAGACTGAAAAGTCTCAGATTCTACATCGAGGGCACCTGCTGGGGTTGCGAGCTCAGTCCCCAGTAGGGGGCATGGATGAGGCAGCCGGTCAATGATTCTCTCTCATCGCTGATGTTTCTATCTCTCTCTCCTTCTCCCTTCCTCTCTGAAATCAATTTTAAAAAGCATGAAAAGGTCACATTTTTAATAATAATTCAGTAAAATTAAATAATTAAAAATAAGCAAAAATATAATTATATTAAAATTAAGAACCAGGCTTTTGGATCTACTGAAACAAATTTGGTCACTGCTCAATTTTTGTTTTTCAGAAAGTTTAGTTATTCTGTGCTGAATTAGCTGTCTGAAAACTCCTAGGATTTTAGTTGATTGTTTTTTTTATAAGCCTACACTTCCTTGTTTGAAGATAGGAAAGAAAAGGCAAACACAATAACAACCAAAGAAAGAAACAGGTGGTGGAAGTGCCACCTAAAAGTTTTATGCCAAAGGATCTGAACCACAGTGAAATGTTAAATATTGTTGTTCTTAACATTTTCAGAGTCAGTTTGAGAAGAATTAATTGGGTAAAGTTTAGGAAATTAATTTTAAAGTATTGCGTGGATAACTAATATTTCGGGTATTAACTGTTGCTAATTTTAAGTATTTATCAAATAAAATCCCAGTTTTTGTTTGTATCTGTATCAGGTTCAGAATGGAAACAGATTCTTCTCAAAAGAGTTGAACTGAAGGGAATTTGAGGTGCTATTTACAAAGATTAAGGGAATAAACGATGGCTGCTGAGGTTCACAGGGAACAGCAACAGACAGAAGCCCTTGCCACCCTCAGTCCTGAAAGAAAGGGTAGGGAATAGTACCAGCAGAGTCGAGGCATGGCAGGAGCAGAGGAAGAAATAGGACCTCTCTCTCCTCTCGCCTTCTCCTGCCCTTCTTGTGCCTCCCAGTAGCCAAATCCTATCAGAAAACAAACAGAAGGGACTCCCGAGATTCAGTCCATATGGGGTAAAGGGCAGAGAGTGAATATGAGGAGCAAAGAGAATCGGCAGCAGAACCTTCTGGTAAAGGCTAGAAGATACCATGTTTATATTCTTGATATATAAATTCAACACAGACATGTGGTGGCTCTATGGCACATTTCATCTAGTTATTATGAGCCCATCGGATTCTGCTAGACCCTTGATTTTGTGATTATTCAATCAATGGACTCATTAGCTAGAACAGACATGAAATAGCTAATGTGAAATTGGACCTGGCACACTGCCCTTGAGAGCCAGCCTTAGTCCTAACTCAAAAAAGACAACACTAAATACAGTCTAAAAGCAGCTTGGAACAGTTCTAAGTGGCAACCAATCTCAACTCCTAAGTGCATAGCACTTAATTTGTTGTGTTTAAAAGCTTTTTCTATATTTCTTTCCAAGGTCTGATTAAAATAAAATTTGAGCATTAGTCAACCCATCTTCTTGACCCTCAGACTAGCAATAACGGCTCTACTGTACCAACTAGAGTATCATATAGTTACCAATGTTTCTCAACACGTGGCATTTTTTTAAAAAGTGCCATCTATTCTAAACAGTATGCAAATCATGTATGCAACCTTAGCCACCGCCACTATGTTGTGACTGCCAGCTGTGTGATTTCAATTCCAGCAAATATATGTCACAGAGTCACTAGGAGAATTGCTTTTGGTTTTCTGCAGGGGGGGGCGGGGGGGGGGGGGGGGGGCGGGGCAGGGCCGGCTGTGGGTTGCTGGGGAAGATGGCCCTGATAGCAGGCCAGGCCTAGGGACTGTACCTGTGCACGAATTTCATGCACCGGGCTTCTAGTATATATATATTCAGGGTAACTCAAGATACCCTGAATAGGCCTACTTGAAGTCTAGGTAAGCTTGACCCAAACTGCTATGGACAAGCTACCCTATTTAATCCATGCATCCTTGGAGAAATAAACTCAGAGAAAGGGGTGATTATACCAGCCAAAAAGTAACAAAAATATGTCAGTCAAAATCAGAAATTGAATGGACAACTTGGGGGAGAAAAGGACTTAAATGTTTATAGAAATTGTTACTTGCTTTAAATATTACATTTTGAAATAGTAATTATTTCTGTCTGTAGCAAATTAAAGTTCCACTATATCCAAAAAAATACCAGCATTCAGTAGCAAGGAAATTTTAGGAGCTTAATATATTCTGAGTGTTATGGCAAAGAATGGAATGTTATCTTATTCTGAGTTTTCGAATCAGAATATATTCAAAAAAATCAAGAATCAGTCATAGAAGGTACCATCCTGAGCAGGTGAAATCCAAATAAAACAATCATATGTAGCTTGACAAAATGAATATATCATGTACTCTTGATTCATAGTCGATCATTTTCATTTAGTTATTGTGAATATACTTAATTCTGTGTAGTGAGAGATTTGTTGGGAGATCATGTTATTAAAATGCTTTAAAATATAATTCCATATATTCTTATGCAATAATAGTAAAGATAAGAGACATCCTTATGAGGTGAATATTTGCATACTTCCAAGGAAGCCTGGCACCAAAGGATGCTGAAGTGGTTTAGGAGGGTAGGGTTTTTATAATAATTAAGCAAATCAAAAGGAGAAATATATTGATTATGTGACTCACTTTATTAATGTCAT